CCTCTCTCTCCCTCTCCCTCCCTTCCGTCCCTCTCTCCCCTCTTCTCCCCCACCCACTTTGCCCCCGTCTCTCTGACAATAGTAAATAGAGAGAAATGCCAGAGAGAAATAAAAGCCTTATGCCCTCCGTAACAATTAAATTAGTTGAACGTTCCAGAGGTTCCGGAGAGGTTCCGTCTGGTATGCTCCCCCGCGGCCCTGGAGGAGGTATGGCTCCAGGTGTATCCCAGGAAGGGGGAGGCCGCCAATGCTCCCGCAGCCCTGAGAGCGGTATGCAGTCTCCTGGGCTGGGGCGCCGGGCGCCGCCGGGCGCCTGCTCACGAGGCCGAGAGCCGACTGGAGAGAGAGAGGGTGGGTGAGAGGCCTTATTGGCCTTTCCGAGGGCCTTTCCATCTAATAACTCTTGTGAGCTTGTGCGGGAGATGCACGACGCCAAAAAACAACTGTAAAAATTCTTCAGATTTTATGGCATACATTGCGAAGTTCTATGCATCTTCGTGTAGGAGCGTGACATTTGTAAGATGACTGTGCCTTCTGCTACTTTTATTCAAGAAGCATCTCCGACATTTGCTATTTGGTAATTAGCTAGCTGTGTCTTTAGCGACATGAATTCGTTCATCTCGCATTCGTTGAATAGTCAAAACCTCTATAATGATTCAATAATTGATCTGTCCCGAAATGTATAGCTTATTTATGGCGCTTACTGTGTCCAAATTTTGAGGAGTTGCACACATACTACTGCACAAGTATCGAGTTTAACACTTCGAAGTGTCGTACCAAATAGTTGCACAAAAGCGTTAACCAGTTGCACACTTTCAAGTGTTAGGCACACTTGGTTTATCAGTGCACTCAGGTGTGGTCGGGGCCGGGGCCGGCTGCTACCGGAGGCTGTGGGGCCGCAGCGGTGGCCCGGCGTGTCTGCGGGGGGTGCCCTCTGATGTAACGCCACCGGGAGGGGGGCCTTGTCGCCCACCCCGCCGCGCCCCGCCCCGCCCCGCCCCGCCGGGCCGCCCACCATCGAGCGCCGAAGCAGCTGGGGGTGCCGGGAGCCCCACCCCGCCGCGCCCCACCCTGCCACGCCCTGCCACGCCCGCTATCTCTCCTCTCACCTCTACTAAGCGCTTCCGCTCTGCACTCTTTGCGCCAATCGGGTGGCTGGTCAGGTCTGTCCGGACTGAGGTTCGGACAGTCAAAAAAATAGAAGCCATAGTCAAGGATGGACTCACAATATTCCTAGAGCAAAACAAAATTTTAATTCCACAACAATATGGATTCCGTGAAAAGAGGCGTACCCAGGTGGCTGCAGCAAATTCCAGGAAGCCTTAAATTATCACAAGAGTGCTGCTGGTCTCATAATCGATTTTTCAAAGGTCTTTGATACAGTAACCCCAAAAATATTAATCAAAAAATGGAAGCAATTGGAGTGAGAGGAAAAGCATCGATGTGGTTTGAAAGCCATCTAAGAGGAAGATAACAATACGTAGAGATAAATGGAATAGAAAGCAGCACTGTTCAAAGAAAAACTGGGGTACCGCAAGGATCAATACTAGGGCCTAATCTTCATTATTAATGACATTACCACCATCAAGCTCAGAGGAATACCTACACTATTTGCTGATGATACAAATATCTTTTCAAAATCTGCAGTGTATATAACCAGCTCCCAGGCGACCTTATCAATTGTAATGATATAAATATGTTCAAAAAGAAATTAACAAAATGGATTCTTGACAAGAGAGATCTTCCATGATGCCATGCAATGTGTTTTGTAAAACTGCACTGATAAACTAAGTGTTCAACTGCTCAACACTTGTAAGTGTGCAACTGCTAGTTAAATACTTTCAAGTGTGCAACTGCAAGTTGAATACTTGCAAGTGCACAACTTGGGAGGTGTGCACTTGCAAGTGTGCAACTCCTCGGTTGAGCACTTCCTACACAGTGAGCGTTCCATCTAAGGAAGTGTTCAACCAGGGAGTTGTACACTTGCAAGTGCACACCTACCGATTTAAACACTTGCAAGTGTACGACTACGTAGTTGCACACTTGCAAGTAATCAACTTGCAGTTGCACACTTACAAGTGTTGAGCAGTTGAACACTTAGTTTATCAGTGTGTGATTTAAAAAAAAAAACAAAAAAAAAACAACAACAAAAAAACACCTTTATCCACTCCTGTAATTGTGATGTAGCGCCCCCCTCATGGGGCTGTGCTCTAAGGGACAGATTTCTTAAGACAATAAAAAACAGAATAGTGTCAACGTTAGTCCGTCTCAACGATGCACTCACCCAAACCAAAAGTGCAACTTCTTTCTACATGTAAGTGTGCAACTGAAAGCTTAATACTTACAAGTATTTAACTCTGTAGCTGTGCACTTGCAAATGTGCAACTCGTCTGTACTGCGTGCAAAGGGCAGTTGAAGACTTGCAAGTTATGTAGATGAACACTTGCAAGTATTCAATTCAAAGAGACTTAATGTAGAATAATGTCCCTCTGTCTGGAGCGAACCTTTTCGTCAAAGAGCTCGTGCCTTGTCCTATTCTTTTGCGAATGCCCTTTGGAGGTTGGTCTTCTTTGCCGCGTGGAAGCTGCAGCAGACAGGAGCGGCGCGGCGAGAGGAGGGGTGGGGGGAGGAAAAAGGGAGGGAGGCATGTGCCCCCCAGGGTGTTTGGTAGGCCCCCGCCCGACCTATCGACCGACATTTAGGTCCTGCCGGCGGTGGCCGGCCGGCCGGCCGTGTCGAGGGTGCGCTGGCGGCCCTGTGGGGCTGCCCGCCCCGCCCCGCCCCGCCCCGCCCCGCCCCGCCACAACAGGCTTCCTCCCGGTGCTCCGCTGCGCAACGTACCCGTCGCTACAGTAGTTCATTTCGCGAGTCGTTCATACAAACGGCAGAGCTGTGGCGGAAGGGGTGGTGGCGCGGGTTGGTGGGATTCTCTCCCTGGAAAAAGGGAACAACGCGGAAACAATGGTGCTGACTGCGAACGTTATGCGGCTTCGTTCAGGCGGTGCGGGAGCTGTGGGAGTTGCCACTGCTATTCACTCACCGTGATGTCACATTTCAACGACTGTGACTCGTCTCCCGTTGGCTTTGACTATTGTGTTTCATTCGTTATAATGTGACACAGGTACGCCCTGCAAATTCATAACGCATGTGACTATTTGACTTGGTAGTCTAAGCAATGTGACACTATTCACAGTTGATTGAATGTGACGCCATGCTTTCAATTTCAAGGAAAATCTTCCTGTAAAACAAATATTTTCCACTGTGTACAATTTCTAGAAATCGTATCACTTGAAGGTCGCGTTCCCAGGACCCGCAGCTAGAAGCCCCTGGCCTGGCGTTTCATTTGTACCTCTGCCGGGAAGGGCACGCGGCGGGCGCCGGGCCTGTCCAGTATTGCGGATGCCATGGCGGAGGCAGGCGCCTGTCTGATATCGCCAGCACCAGCAGGGCTGCCGTGGTGTCATTGGCAAACAATATCCCGTCGTGAATGCCGTGGCGGTCAGCGCGCCGAGCTCATCCCCGCGCGCTATCGGCGCTGCCCAGGCGGCTTGCACGGAGAAAAATAGTTTGCTGCACAGCTAAATCTTAATCTGCTGCCTGCAATATTGTCATAGTAGCTAATAATTTAACTACAGTGGTAATTTTATACATACAACAACCTCCTCTCAGGGATTATCACCAGAGCTATCCAAATCAGCCAAATTGCTAATATTTAGCCACTTTAATTGCTGCATCCAGCTAACTTTTCTTAGCAGCTTAGCTAATATTTAGGTACGTAGCTCACCTATTTAGCTCGATAGCTAAAAGTTGCCAGATACTAACAATTAGGTAAAATAGCCAACTCATTTTTCTGCGTGTGCAGGCGGTCCAGGAGCGCGCGAGGGTAATGGCAATATATCCCACTGGGTTTGGGGAGCCCTCCAGGCATCAAGGGTTTTGTAAACGCTTTAGGCCTAGTTCAACATGTTTTCAAAAGATTTTACGTGTTTTAGTTCGAGCGGCGGCCGTAAGAGCCGTGTGTCGTTTTATTTCTCTTTGTTTTCAGCCTGCTCTTCTGTTTTGAAGAAGCTTCCGAGGGGGCTCAATATCCTGCCAAAGTGTCTGTTCCACCGGAAGGAGTTGCGCTGGAACCTTATTATTTGCTTTCATTTTCCAGGAGCAGCAGCAGAGGGCGGCCAATGGCGTTGCCAACGGCTCCAGCGCGCTGGACAACATGCGGAGCCTGGAGACCTACCTGGGAGAGATCATGCGCTCCGGAGAGGACACCCCCGAGCACCTCAAGGGTGAGTACCGCCAAACACGGCGTGGGCCAGGCCGCACTCGGCGCGTTAAAACCATCGAATTCCTCCCTGAAAACGTGTGTCTGATGGGATTCCGAGTCGAGCCCTAATAACAACAGGAATAGGATTTCTATGTAGTGGTGTTGCCTTGCATCGTCGCTCGGCTGGGAACCCCATCACATAAAGGATGACTGGAATATGACCACGGATTGCACTTCGTGTGACGTCTGTCCTACTCGTGTTGTCAGTTGGGCTTTGATGGCACTGATTTTTTTGTTTGGTTTGTTTGGCGTACGTCGCCGACCATTTGGAGCTTCTATTTCCCTTTATTTAACACAGAACAAAAGGAAAACATCTTTGTGTGCTCTACTTTACCTTTTTTCTGCTTTTCGGACTCGTCGGATAAAAGAATTACCAGAGCAATGCAATTAAAACTTGCAAAAAGTGTTATCGGCTCCGATGCTTTGCACTCGTCTTCCTCGGCGTCACACCAATATGTGTCTGTGTTTACTTTATTTATTTTATTCTAAGTTTTTGTGCCTATGTTTTTGCTCCGTCATTTGATTGAAGCTCAAACGAAAACCAATGGTGAAAGAGCAAGTAATGAAAATGTAACAGTAGTCATGTGTTTAAATTACATGCCACGTTACGCCTCGAGAGTTAGTCGATTAATCGCGTCACTTGTCCAAAAGGTACTCAATATTGATTGAAGGAAACCGACGTCAACACAGGGTACTTATAGAATGTAGGATTAATTTTTACGCATAACTTCTTGAATAGGGTTCGTTTTATTGCTAATAAGAATAAACAAATGGGGCTTCAAAAGTGATTTCGATAAAATGCAATCGCGTTCTATGTCCAGATCATTCCGGAAAGCATTCTTTTCCTTTCGAAGCAGCGTTGTCCCGTTGGCAAGCGTGAACCGTGTTGACCGCGCTGCCGGGGGCGTTCGCGTCGAGCCGCACGAGGGCGAGACAGACTGGATTGGGCGCCATAATTGGCTGGGAAAGAAAAGGAATATGATCTTTTTTGTGCACCAGTTTTTTTGTTGTTGTTTTTTTTGTGCTTTTGTTTTATGAGTTTTTTTAGGGCGTTTCGCTTACCGGTCCTGTGTTTGGGGCGCGTCGTTTGATTAGATACACTGTAGACAATATTTAGACGTTATTCGTATCAATATCGGTTATTTTTCGTCGATCTCAATAAAAGGACTTGCATGCGCACGCCTGTTGTCTATTTTTATCAATTAATAGAAACTGTTGCAGTTTTTGATACATAATTCGTCATTATTTTATATAGTGCGATGAGAAATTGTAATTGCTTATGCAACGTTGGAGGACTCCGGAGCGATGCTTTCAAGGGCTTTTCGTGGGAGGTAGACGCATGGCGCATCGTGGAAGAAAAATTAATTTCCTTGCAAAAGTGGGAGGTTTCCGCCCGCCAGCACCTCTCCGGTGCGACTGAAAGAAAAGAGACGGGGATAAAAAAGAAGCTCGATAAGAAAGAATGAGAACAGGGATGGGAAGAGCGAAAACTTAGGATCCAACCAGAGCCAGAGATCAAAGTGGGCCTTTGGCTGGCTGGAGCAAGAACCATAGGTAGGGCCTCTGCACAAAGGTGGAGGACACGAGAGAGAAAGGATGTCGACGCATGAGAGTGAGGTCAACATTTGTCATGTGGGATTCACGAGAATGCACGCAAATTTCGTGGACGTTTCTACCAACATAAGGGGTGCTAGAGATGAGCGAACAGGCCAGTTCGAATCTATACAAACTCGCACAAAATCAGTCCCGAAACCTTCGAACAAAACCGAATAGCAGAATTTTCTATCAAACGAACAGTTCCCTGTTCAAATTCGAACAAACAAGCAAATCTGTTACACTTTGCGCCTTTGCTCTCCTCCCTTCCCTCGATGTTGCTACTACGTAAAGAATGTTTAAAATTAAACCATTTAGAGCATTGATATCATAATGTATCCTAGGCGGGAATCACGGACTCCAAACACATGTCCAACGAGTGCACCAAAAGATAGAGATACCAGGTGGCTGATTCGCGCCGCGCACTTCTGTAGTTATACTGTACCGCATGCACGAGTGCGGGCGGGTTGCCTACTCGCTCGGCTCGTAAGGCGCCGTGGACAGGGGCGATAGGCAAGCCCGCCCGCACTCGTGCATGCGGTACAGTATACCTACAGAAGTGCGCGGCGCGAATCAGCCACCTGGTCTGGTATCTTCTTCTCTTTGCGGTTTCTGCGGCACGCTTGTTACTCATTTGGGCGAGTAGCAGAGTAGCAGCAAAAGCCAACTTTTAGACTCTTAGCCGCCTCTGTGTGCTGCAACTGCTGCAGCTGCTGACGAGGGTGCCCCCCACCTGCCGCACGCAGGCGCTCCAAGAGTAGCCTAACTTCTTGTCGAAATAACCGCGCGGCTACATTCCCGAGCGCTGAGGAGGATCGGCGGAGGATCCCGGGGTCGAGGGGGGGGCGCGCACCACAAGCAGGAGCAGCAGCGGCAGCTCACGGCCGGAGGCAAGGCGCCATCGGAGGGAAAGAACCCCGACGTCGATAACGCGTTGATCAACGTTGGAACTATAGGTTTAGTGCATTTACAAAGGAACTAAAACTGCCAAAGGCACTGTTATTTGCTCCTGTCGGGCTATTTAGTGTGTGAATAACTCTTTCGAACGAGCAATGGATGAGACTTTTTCTAATACCTTATTGTTTTAGACCGTAGACCGTACTTATCCAAAACTGTGCGGCCACTAAACTTGAAAAACATGTTTGCTGACACTGGGCAGGGGTGTGCGCCGTGAGTTGTTTGCCGAGTCCGACCAATGTATCCGACAGACAGCAGCCCGGTTGGCGAGGACGCGTGGTCGTGGTCGTGGTCGAGTGGACATGGCGCTGTTGCCTGTCCGCGGTCGGAGCGACGCAAACGCGAACACTGTCAACCCTTGCCTATGGTTACAGTTAAACTTAAATTTTCCTTAGCACCCCTAAAGCACGACCCCTAAAGCAAACTCCAGGTTTGTTTACTTTGTTTAGCTGTAGCAGTGTCGAGCGGATGCGCATTGCGCAGGGCGGATGCGAAGCGTACGCTTTTTCATCTCTGTTGTTAGGATATTGACGAGTCCACTGTTGAGGCTCGCGTTGCCTCTGCGCCCGCGGGCAACATCCCGCCATCCGTATAGACATGGTATAGAGCACAAAGTTTGCTATCTTCTGTCTTCCTCTTCCGGCTCGTGACCCCCCCCCCTCTCTCTCTCTCTCTCTCTCTCTCCCTCTCTCTCCCTCTCTACCTCCCTCCCTC